CTGTCTAGTTAAAACTTCAGTCCCTGAAGGGATTACCTTGAAATTTAAACCTTTAGATTTTTACTTTTAAATGAAGGTGTCGATCTATCTTCAGCTGCCAATCCGAAGCTGTTTTCATTAATACATAACTTGACAAGTAACTTTACCTCTGCCACGCTGGACCGAATTTATTATTGACTGCGTAACTTTTTTTAGCTGATTTACAGTCAATGAAAAGCGTTGTGATGTGTTCATTTCGTGGAAAACTGTTAACGCCACCCGAGACAATAGAAAGTTATCCAAGACAAAATCTCGATTTACCCCGTGATCAACCGTGATTTAGGTCGGTAACCAAGATTGAGATGACAGATATATCAAGTCCACTTGCGGTCACATGGTATCTCTCTCCCCGTGGTGTCCAGATTGCGTCAATCTCATTTGGTTGCATTTTTGACAACGTTTGTTTTCATTGCCAAAAGGCAAGCCAAATCCGGACCAGCCACTCGGAAAATATATTCGAACGTACGTCTAGATAGTCTGAGGTTCTCTTTTCACCATCTTTGAATTAACGAAATTTCCGCGTGCAAAAGGGTTTCAAACCAGAATTGGTTAGCGAAGTCATTAAAAGCGTTCCCTCTCGGCTCAGCGATTTCTGAAAGTTGCGCGGTTTTGGAATTTGAATCGCCTGGTTAGCGGGTTAAATGAATAAAAACAGCAGTCACATTCAACTAGAGAATGTTGGTCTGTAAACAAACGCCTAGAAAAAAAATGTTCAGCTAGTTAATCGGCCTACTGAATAACAGTTTATTTTAATATTTTACATGAATGTAAATGATTATCTTGTTCGGGTCCCCTGCGGTCTCAGTTCATTGACAGTAAATTAAAAATAACAATCATAACTTAGCATTGATGCAGAGCCTGAATTATGAAATTTTGCCGTGAAACCGAAGCGAGTTTCCCTTTGGGCGAGCGAGAAGATTTTCTTGAACGCAAATCTAATGGGAGCTTTAAAATTACTTACAGGCCAAAATGTAAACTTGTTCTTTTGTTTACGTTTTGATTTCATACTGAGTTAACGTGAAAACATAACATATAATAGTCATGCAAATATATCTCATAGAATTCTTTTTTCGAGAAAAAGAAATGTATTCCGTAACTTCTTTGATCTACTTGGCAATGGTTGCATTCGCTGTGCAAAGTTCAAGGGATTTTACGTGTCGAATTCCTTCGTTGTCCCGCGTCATGTTGCATGTAGGTCGCCTGTCTTGATCGCGCGTGGTTGATTCTTCACTCGAATTAGTGGCCATAATTTCCCTTCAGTTGAGCCTTGGTAAACTTGAGCGGTGATTACCTTCGAATTAATGTACACATCAGACCGAGAGGTGATTTGAAAACGAATTGCTCACTTTGATTTAGAGGTAATTCTAGAACCTATCTGGTTGAATCATGTGGTGTTCGACTAAAAAGCAATAGGCTACAATAATTCTAAGAAAAGGCGAAAAACAGAATCAAAAAGATAAAGACAAACAACTTACAGATATTTCCTCCTATTGATGTGAACTGGTAGATTGAAGAAACTGATGAACTTAACTGAAACTCGATGCAATTGACACGATTGCTGCTTGATATAATACATACCGAACAAATATCTTACGCAACGAATCACATGTATTAATTAACGTATTTTGAGGTAGTAGTATACATGATCCCAGAAGCTTTGTAGCTTTGATTCTTATCGTTTTAAAATAAACGTTTTGTTTATATGTTTATGTTAGTGATCGACGAGTTAAATTTTAAATCAAGTGTAACGCACGTAGGGAAGATGTCATCCTACCTACCAGCCCCTTAATGCGAACTTAAAGCGTTTTGACTTAGTTGAGTGATTCAAACGGAAAAACTTGAGTAACACATTGTCACTAAATCCATTCGAAATAGTTCATCACAATCAAGTCAATAAAGAAACAACTGTTCTCTGACGTTACAAGCAAACTTCTTGGTTGAGGACATAGACTGCGAGCAGTCTCTGTCTCTCTTTTGCTGGAAAATCCGTAAGGAAGAACGCAAAGAAGAACGAGAGCCCCCCGCGCTACTCGCGGCTTGCGGCTTCGCCGTTCTTCCCCACGGACTTCCGAGCAAAAGAGAGACTGCTCGCAGTCTATTGAGGACATCAAGATTAACAATGTTTAGCTGCTCGCGTGGAGTCTAGGAGTCTCTAGAAGAACGATTTTGTCGATGGGACGTTCCAGGACCGCGGACTTGGTTTTCAGCCTGACTCTCCTTACAAGCTTGTCTCTCTTGTTTGGTTTTACTTCGAGGAAATGACCAAGGGGCCACAAGTTTTCTACCACAAGTATAATGTCTCCAGTTTCAAAGTAACACCTTTATCTTTGCAGTGATTGCCTTC